ATTTTATCACCATTTACAGATTTTCTGGTGCGTTTTATTTATGCTCGTTTTTAATTAAAATGGAAAATAATACAAACATGGACTTCAAGTAAGTGAAATCTTTGCAACACCGTATTTGCAACAAATTGAAATGTCTTTGTGGGCGGCATAAAACTGCTTCGAAGCCGCCAGTTTGAAATCACTGTAACACATTGTTTCGAGGAGGGCAATCGGAGTCTTTGATACAATTGATACAACCTCTGTAGGTACAAAATTTTGCCGCCCTGTACGGACGCAGAGGTAGCTCCGGCTCTGGCGCCGGCGCTGTTGTTAATAAAAGCGTCTCAGGGACTACATGGCAAAGCTGTGACTGAATTTTGTGTTAAGCTCGAGACGATTTATAACGAAACATTTGAAAGGTTACAGTATTTAAATGTTAATAAAACCCTTAGCCGTGTTTCAGCATTTTTCACTTCCAAGGCGATAACGCGACTGTGATTAACGAGGCATGTCCTGGCTGGTTATCCACCGCTGTTATGCATGTCAACATGGCCCATCAATAGGCAGACAATGAGAACAGACCAGTGACTATAATGTAAACGATTATTGTGTGAAACTATGAGGAAGAAAGAACAGATTTTCTGAAGAAACAGTAGTTGGATACAAAAAATATGAAATGGTGGCAAAACAGTCTAACTAAAGTTTCTGAATTTTTGTAAAGCGCTACAAATAATGTAATCCAGTGTGAAGGAGTCAGATACAGAGAGAGAGAGAGAAATAAAGTCCGTAGGGTATTCTGTATAGAACCAATCTTAAAATTTTACATTTAGCCTACATAATACAATGAAATGTTAGTCATCCTATTTTCTTCAACTAGAAATTATCCGAAACAGATTTCCAGTTTCGGTAGCTCAGCGAGTAGTTATAACCTAACCACACTCAGGTAGTGTTCTGGGTCTAAACTCCAGCAAAACTTGGAAATTTTCCCGAGTCTTGAGACAAGTAAATATATCTTAATTTATGGGAATCAGAAAACAGCAGCAATCAGATTTTCGTTAACTATTTTGGCAAGGAATCAGAAAAAAGTTATGATTTCCGTAACAAACCTAATAAGTTAAAAGCATAATATTGAAACACCAGCCTTACCATTTTCATTTCTCTATGTGCGCTGCATTTTAACTGTTTGTCGATCGTGATAGCTGTGCGAAAACCATGAAACTAATATACCCATACTTGCTTTATTCTAAGCAATGTTCTGAATTAAATAACACGCAGACTACGTCTCTATAAACAAATCACCATGCAGGAAATTTTGAATAAATATTCTTATTCAATGTATTCCCCTCCTAAAGGTAAACGCATTAAATATTGAGGACTAGGAGAACAACAATAGAATCACAACAAGCTTAAAGCACAAACAAGGCAAATAAAGAAGAGCACTTACATTTTTAAGTAATTTGATATATGCTAAAATATGAATCTAAGATGCCTGGATAAGATTTCATTTCGAAATGCATTATGCTGAAAAACTTTTGGAGCTTGTGATTAGATAATGCAATAATTTACCATAAAGTTAGTATTGGATAGTGTCTATAAACTACTTTCGGACAGTGATGTGGTTTTCCAGACATCTTTCATGGCATATTTACTACATTGTACAAAGTAAAGGCAGAATTGAAGTCGCAAAAATTTTCGGGTATCATATTTCAATGAAAATATCATTTTCGACAGCTCCAGAATCCATTTTGACTGCTTTTTGAGTGACATTTGGATGTAAGGACAGAACAAAAACGTCTCTATTTTTTCCCCAAAATGGATTGTGAAAAGGATTTAAAATGGATTTAAAAAAATTTTTTTTTCAAGAAGTCTGTACGTACGTATCTCGCATAACTTAAAAACGATTAGCCGTAGAAAGTTGAAATTTTGTGCATGGGACTGCTGTAACAACTAGTTGTGCACCTCCCTTTTTCACTGTAACCGGCAGTACCAAATATATATGTCATAATAAAAGCGCAAGGAAAAACGGAACACTGTAGATGCGTGATGAGACCCATATTGAAGAAGATTTTGATTGCGTAGTATGCTAGTAATGCTAACTTGGTAATATCTAAAGAACTTGGCAGTCGAAGCAGTTTTAATTCCATTTTTATTTCCAATTGATATTTGTGGCCACAATCACTTGGCACTCTAGTCGTGCCTTTCCACAGAAGATTTACATTTTTGATATCGTTGGGATAGAAAGCAAGCCAGCGAAATCACATCTTAGCACAGTAGCGAGCAAAAGCTGAAGTGCGTAGTTATGAAAGATGGAAGCACGCGAAGAGAAAAGTTTTGGTTTGCAATTTGGTGATTGGTCGAGAGGGATCTGCATTATGGGTTAAGTAAGATCGCATGATTAATTTGAATGACGCAGTTTAGACTTAAGCGCTATTTTTAGGACAGATAGAGGAAGTTCTCAAATGAAATAGAAAATAATGGAAGTTATAGTGAATTAAGTTTAGAAGTTTGCTTTCATATTTTTTATCTTACATATATATATATATACACTTACCCCTGTACCAGGTATAAAAGTCCTTATTATCTAGCTTCAGTCATATATCCAATTATAAAATTGTTTTAAATGACGAAAATATTCATGTTTTGGCAATGTCAGATTTTATAAAAAACATTTGGACAAATAACGAAATCTAACTTTTAATGCGATCTCCCAGTTCCTATGTTTACATTTGGGAAAGATTTATACACGTTATGAAAAAATAAAATTATCAGAAGTTTGATTCCCGTATGAAAAAAATTGACTGGGATAGTTAATTTCAAAAGTTGCAGTTTTTGATGTCGTTTCCAACTTGCCTCGGAGGATCGATTAATTAAGTTAAAATAATTTGAGGAAATAAGTTTAAATAAAGTGCAACAAAAATATGTATAATAATATGCCGTACAAAGAAGTCACGTGGTGTCCCTATATGATTTTTCTTTCCTGTCGTCATATCAAAAGCACCTACTCATCAAAGCCCCATACTTCAGATGAGCTTTAGATTGGAAAAATAAAAGCAATTTATGAAATGACTGAAGAGCAACTGAGGAATAGGTTCGACAGTTAGTGTTTGCTAACAAGTTTTGATCGATGTGCAACAAAAGGCAATGGTCATGTATATTGAATGAAAAAGTGTGAACCAGTTGCAGTAAAAGTTTTGAAATAAAGCTCGGTAATTTACAATGTATTTCTTTCATTTATACATTTAGAATTATTACGGTACAGGGTGACTCACGAAAAGTAGCCTACCCACGGCGATAACGTAACGACATGGACAGCATCTTTCTGACACAATGTGTACAGAAAGCGCGATAAAGAAAGGCTACCTAAAGCTGTAATGGAGTTTTACTTGGTAATAACAAGTCGTCAAAAATATGGACTGTGGGCAGACAGAAAGCAAAGGGCTACGGCCTCCTCCAAAAAACGTGGAACCGGCATTGAAAGCGGGCTACGTTCTCGTGGCGCATTTTGTGTTAATTTTGCATAAAAACTTTGGGAACACTCTGAGAAAAAATAAGGGCGGCGCATATTGTATCTGATAGTTAGCAAACTTTCCAGATTTCGCATATGTGGCGTACCTACATCCGTGGAGAGTTACGACTAGGCAATTAGTATACCAAATATTAGATCATTGGCTGGTGCAGTTACGCATTGTGGCAGTGGAAGCCTTTATTAGTATAAGCTCTGTACAAACACTGTGGTGGAATAGTGAAGATGAACAGAATTGTGCAGAAGAGAGTTGCACTTTGGTTTTTAACACGACGAAGCAACGGTGAACATAAATACTGCTGAATTCCGATAATGTTCCGCAGAACATGTTGAGACGTATCACGTACGCCTTCCCCATTCGTCTCGAAAAATGCATTCAGACAGAAGAAGCATACAGATCACATTATTTGCAAGATTCACTGATCTGTGAGAATATTGCTGTCATATAAAGTTACTACGAGCACTCATCGTCTCTCTGTTGCTATTGGATGTATAAATAAGTTTAGAGGTGTTTTTTTGCAACTTTGGAGCTTTATTCAGAGAAATTGGAAGAATGTGTTTTATTCAACGTTCAGTCCATCGTTAGCTACAACTCTTCCCCATCTTTCAGGTAGCATACGGATTTCGCGTTAAAAAAATTCCTCGTCTTTTGAGGCCATTTAAGAACCGACCCAATTTTTGGCTTCTTCGTATGAAGTGAAGTGCTGCTCGGCCAAGTCATGAGTCATCGATCGGAATAAGTGGAGGTCGGAAGGAGCATTGTCTGGTGAATACTGCGGGTGGTGTAGGACATCCCATTGAAGCACCTCCAAAGTTTCTTTGACGACTGTTGCAGCATGTGGGCGAGCGTTGTCGTGTTAAGATCACCTTGTCATGTCTTGTCATGTCCTTGTCATGTTACGTATATTAGGGTTCTTTGAGCTTTAGTGCTCAGCTCAGTTGCATCAGCTGTTGTTTGTAACGTTCCCCAGAGATGGGTCATGAATCTTAGTCCAATAACCCCTCTAACTCAGCGTCTTTAAACTTTAGTGGCCTTCCTTCGCGTTCTTTATAGCTGGCGTCAAAATTGCCACTTTTAATCAATACTCAAATGAATCAGTACTCAAATGTTTTTAGCATGTTCCCCATTTGCTTCACACAGCAATCGAGGCCTATCAGCTGCAGTTTTCTTTAAATTAAAACAAAAAAGAAGCGCCTCCCGCAAATTTTGTTTTGCTGGTAGAAAGGCTGACCCCAAAGAAAGTTTGTTATTTACACTTCAGCGAAATGAAACAGACTGATTTTTAGACGGAAATCCTGGCGCTTTAACATGAATATAGTTACAAGATTGCCCGATAGGATTTACTACTAGTAACGCCATCTTATGTAAATCCCTCAAAACTTATTTGTACACCCCATAATTAAATTTGGTTAAAAAAATACGCTCCCCCTTATACAACAGAAAAGGGATCAATCTTAACTGATTAGATATTTTTAGCTTAATAAATACAATACTCACTTTTAGCAACATCCAGATTATCAAGAGAGAATCTTGTCAATAGCTTATACTTGTTCATCTCTAAACTGCTAAATGAACTTTGTGAAAGTCTGCAAAGAAATGCACGAAAGACATTAAAAAAAATATGCATAAAACACAATACGGAATTTTGAAGAAAAGTACAGATGCAATTTATTAATTTCAATATAGAAAAACGTTTTTTCATTTATATATATATTAATGAAAGAGCAGAAGAAAGTATCTCCATTTTTAATGAAGAAATGAATTGAGAAAGACAAATGACTTTTTGAATATGACTAAATCCATTTAAAAATTGTCATTAGAATAACTTTTCAAACAATAGACTACTTAGATAAATCTTTTAACCGTGTTAAAATAGCTCGATAACATTCATTTTTTGGGGGGGTAGACGCTAATTTGTGTTTTGTAGGCCTAGAGAATTCCTTTATTTTTATGAATGAAATATTTTATGTTAATTAGCTTTCCTGTCCTTCTTGCTTTCCATTTTTCTGCCAGAATACTACTTTCTAGCTCGATCGCACTCAAATGAGGTAGAAAAGAGATAGTATTTAAAGGAAGTTTTTTTGTTGGTAAAATCACTGCATGTTCCATCTGCTGAAGGTCACGTTGCTAATTGATTCTCTTGCGATCAGTTTATCTGCGTAGTCGTGTTATTTTCACCATGACGCTTGTCACGCCGATGTTACGATTTTGAATTGAACTAACAAGCGCATAATTTGTCTGTGTAGCCTTTACGGCTAACTTACAGTTTACTTAGTTAAGCTATATTTGTTATTTTTGATTCACTCCATAAATGCTGGCTTGTTCTGTAAGCACAAGACGTGTCTTCTGTTAAACTTTATCAGAGCTAAATAAAAGGGTCCTTTCTACACTTCCCATGTCTCTGTTGTAAATTCCATGACATAACGATAAGTCGTTTATGTCCCAAGTACAGTTCTCATAGTTTATGCTACCAAAGATGTTGAGACTCTATAAGATTTTCAAATAAATGAACACCCCAGAAAAATCTTTTTAAGCAAGTTAGAATAGTTCGATTGCATTCAGTTTGTTTTCTGCAGACGTTAAATTTCAGTTTGTTTTTTGTAGACGTTTCACGTTTTAGTTAGGAAGCGCATATCCTGTTTTTCAAGGCTATTTAAAAATGAAGGAAATTCTAACAGGTTCTGGTCTATATTAAGCCATATTTGAACTAAGGTCTAAGTATCACAATTACCGTAGGCATACATAAGTTATAATCATAAAAAAGCACTAGCAAAAGCTTTAAAAGTTAACTTTTAAGTTATTGTATACCGTGGAAATACCAACATAAGTATGCGCATTTCCAGCACAAATCTTACCATTATAGCAAGTTAAGAAATAGGTAGGTTATTTTATTCTTCTAACAAATAGGTAGGTTATTTTATTTTTCTATCAAATAGGTAGGTTATTTTATTCTTCTAACAAAAAGCTAAGTATTAGTATGTAGCTTATTTTCAGTATCCGTTTGCAATTAACAAAATGCGCTGTTACCAAAGCTATTCTTTGTCATTTGCATATCTTGTATGATAACAATAAGAAAAAGGCAGTTTAAGTATTTCAGATTACAGTCTAACACCTCGATACCTCGAAAAAGAAGATACGATCAAAAATTAAAAGGCAATAAAAAGTGTAAAATATGATTAAAAATGATACAGGAATGGAACGTATTGTATTAAAAAATCCTTTATTAATTGCAACAAAACTGCAAATGCTCATAACAATTATCATCCGATTATATTCTAAATTAAATGCACTTTAATTTACATCAATTAGGTATATTATAAAATAATTAATATAAGGATTTGTAATATTAAAAACTGTTTTTATTGCTTTAAATTGCTCAGTTTATTAATCGGTAAAAAATACATTAAATCTGAAAGATATATTCAAATTTTTACGCTTTTCCCAATGGCAATACTATAAGAATCCGCTATGCGAGAAGTCACGTGGAAGATAAAGTAACAGTCTTGTGTTCCGTGCAATGGCAGCGCTTATCAAATGTTTCTTTTAAATTCTTTTCGTTCTTCTCGTTCGTCAGTTTCCAAGGCATCATTGTACATAAGGATTTTATTTTACCCTGACGTGATTTTATATATTAACGGAAATAATAGATCTTCTAAGAGGTGTTAAAACATGACAAATTTTGCTGTTCTTCCGTTAGGAGTGACTCAGTATTTAAGATGTTAAATCAAACGCGATCCCGTATGAAAACACTTTACCCTGAGAAAAAATTACATTACTCTAATTCATTAGTACATTATTCTAGTTCTCGACAGAAGGGGGATAAAATAGAATACATTCAGCTCATTAACTTTCAACTTATATGCTATGCACCTGTAGCTTCACATCCGCATCAATTCACTGTTTTGCATCACCGATTTCGAGTTGTAAATTAACACTGCTATTGAATAAAATCATTCAAAACCAATATGCATTAATACCAAAGTCAACTTTACAACACTTTAACAAACCCAATTAGAAAGAAAGAATCCTTGTGCTATCCCAATCGTCACATAAAATAAGAATGCTTTTACAGCATAAGCGAGGGACATTAAGAAACGGGTTGCACCAGGTATTCTGTCTGACCTAATCAGAGCAAGTCCACGAATTTAATCCTGGTCAAGAAATGCAAAATTGAGTCTGTTTTGGGCATGAATCTTAAGCATCATATAGGTGACAGTGAGCCAGGAATTCATTCGTTCGGGAGTAGATTACGGGATAAAATTACCAGTATTCAATCATTTTAATCATTCTCTCAAATCCAACAAATTCATAGTGGAAATAACATGCAACTAAGTTTTAAAATGATGTCAAAAACGAAAAGTAAATAAGTAGAGTCATTAGGTTTTTTTTGAAGCAGGAGACGTGAAATATGTACAGGGACGTCGCCGGAATTTGAACCCTGGACCTCTCGAGTATTTGTGGAATATGCTTCCAATTACACCAAGAAAGCATGCGGAAAGGAGGAAGAAAATACCTTATAGCAGAACTGCGTCAGCTAAGAATATTAGCATCCAGGAGTGGGATTTATTTCAAATAAAGTATTACATCAATAGTAACGCAATGCAGCAGCAATCTAACCTTGGTATCAGCCGTTAACTCATAAGTGGTTTTTCAAGAGAAGCGTGAAAATGATAACAGTCAATCATTGTCAGAAACGTAATTAATTAAAATGAAATTTTCGTCTCAGAATCGATTATTTTCCTGTTAGCAATGCAGTGGGAATTTGCCGGATGAAAAAAGAGAGTTCTGAAATAACAACCAGTAAACCAGACTGATGTAACCATACTTATTTTATATTTATTACTCAGTTCTGTCACCATTCTAAATTACACTGGGATGATTTTAATCCTTCACGTCAATAACGTGCCACTGGAAATCAATGATGCGCGAATTATTTAATAAAGGATGGAATAGAAAGTAGTATAATTTGTACTGCATCTGCCATTTCATTAAGATACACAATAGGAGATTATCTGAAATAACCCGGGAACCGACAGGTTCTGGATAAATGGCATTTCAAGCACAAATAAGGGTCAGGAATCGAAGAAAGGAAAACTTTTTCTTCATTCTTTACTTAATTCATTACTTTTTAAATATTTTTTTTCACTGAAATGAAATAATGTGAAACTACATTGCTGCCTAGCCGGTATAGTTGTTAATGTATAAGGTATTTCTCCCGCCTTCTTGGCATGCCTTCGTGGTGTAGTGGTCTGCACGCTGGGCGCGTATTCCAGAGGACCGCGGTTCGATTCCCGGCGAAGGCGTTGCAAATTTTTCATCTTTCCTGCTTCCAATTAACCTAATGTCTCTACAAATGAAGCTATCGATGGGCCCGGGTTCGAATCCTGAGCAAGGCATACATAGTGTTTGTGTTGCAAGGGGCACTTAAATTAGATGGTGAGCCGAAAGTCCTTTCAAGAGGTTGTTGGCAGGGGAAGAAGGATGGGAGACCCTCGGACCGGCTACCGGGGTGTTCTTTCACAAAATTAAGGTGGAACTGGCCAGTTAGTACGGTGGGCCTATAATTGTACGACCAGCTGTGATGTCTGGTATCTTGCCCATTTACACCTATACCTGTCCCAGTGAAACTATATTGTCCACTTCTACATAAAAAAAAACCTAGTTCCCAAACGTGCTGTCAAACTTGTGGCAGAAGATCTGTCATTGATCTTTTATAGTAAACTGCCAATTCTAAGATTGTTACAAATCCTGGGTCAGATGATTTTTAATACAGCTTTCAAATTATAAAAATGCATCTTATAACGCATGTGTAGAAACGACATACTGCACGTGCTAGTTAATCAATGCACGGCGAATACATAATGCAAAAATGACCTTGTGTTCAATAAAATATGCATTATTTAAAGCGTTTAAATAAACAGTTAATTTAAAACTATGCTTGATTAAAGTAATAAAATTCACACTTTTTTTTGTAAGAAGCAAATCTTCAAAACTAATAATTATAGCTAGGAGTTTCTTAATGAATGCATGCAATGAACGCACCACTGAGAATTCAAGATAAAACACATCACTAGACTCCTCACTGCATAACAACGTTCCAGGAGCAATAATTCAGTCCTTTTTTTTTCTGGAGGAAGGAGAACAGAAGAGGTGATGTTTGCTTACGATAATTTAACCTTGCATTTCTACCAGTTAACTCGCATTTTATCCGGTGTCGCACCAGCTAATAGGACATGCTATTTCTAACAGTTGAGTTTTATTGCATTTGGTGACAGATAAGTGAAAGGAAAAATAGTCTCAAGTGAGCCAAAAGTTCTTCACCACAAAGGAGGGTAAACAAAGAAGGTGTAAGGTATTTCTCCCGCCTTCCTAGCCTGCTTTCGTGATGTAGTGGTCAGTACACTGTCTTGGTATTTCAGAGGTCCATGGTTCGATTCCCGGCGAAGGCGTTGCTAATTTTTCATTCCTTCTGCTTCCAAAAACTTACCTAATGTCTCTACAGTGGCGTATGAACTAAAAGGGTGTTGGATGATGATTCTCCTCACCCAGGATTTGGCGATTGGGTTCCCTAAAAACCCCAGTCGCCCTTTAAAAGGGGGAGTATATAGGTACTTCTCTCACCATCTTGGCGTTCCTTCGTGGTGTAGTGGTTCTGCACGCTGGGCCGGTATTCCAGAGGTCCGTGGTTCAATTCCAGGCGAAGGCGATTGCTAATTTTTCATCTTGCCTGCTTCCAAAAAAATATCTAATGTCTCTACAAAGGTACAATTACATACACAATTCCCATTTTCATCCAAGGTTTTCTAACTTTCGGGTATTCATACGTTATGTTTTTCTAAAATCCAATTTGCTCACGTTGCTGACACTGGGTGACTGTCTGATAAAACTCAATATATGAATAACCAGCCCTGAACCTCTGTATTTTCAACATGTATTTTCTTGATTTCACCGTAACTAAAACAAAATTATTCAGCATATATCACAACTTATATAGATTTGATCACGTTTAAATAGTGAAATTAACTTTGATTGGGAAAGCTTAAAATGTTACTGTTTGCAATTTTGATTTTAAATATCTTTTTTTCCAAACAAATTCACTTAATGCAAATTAGAATACGTAGATTTACAAACAATTCTTTTCCAACATAAGTATTAACAACAATTAGTTTATTAGGCTAGTTTTACATTTTCTTTATACATATATATATATTTAAATTACATTTTATTTTTACATTTTGCATTGCAAAACGCTTACATTTTATTCTTGGAAGACGGTGACTTCATTTTAATGTACGGTTATTTAATTAAATTAAATTTTATAGCAAGCATTATGAAAATTATTTCTTAATTATTGCTTAAAATGAAATAAGATAGAAAGCATAACACATACAACTACTTTTGATAATTTATAAACGATCAAAATGCAGCCGTACGTGTTACGTACATCAAATATGAAGATGAACTAGTGCCAAGTTTCATATTTTATGTTTACACGTTAAGTACATAAATTGCAATCACTATTACTTACTAATTAGAGCTTTAAAAACAACAAAAATTATTTCTAAAGCTAAATTGCATTCTGTGAGATAATTTGGACGGACTTACTCATGAATAAACAACTACAATGCAAGTGTAGCTTATTTAATTTGTTACATGTCATTTACTTAAGCATCCTTAAAAGGGAAGTCCCTAGAAGGAAACTTTTTGTATTGGGAAGGCTAGAAAAGTATAATACAGTAAGTGCTTTCCCCTTCTGAATTTGAAAGTAGGCTGTAAACTTGCGTGCAGTAATCACCGTACAGATCGATCTTGCTGGATCGGCTGTCACCCTAGTGAAAGAAGTGCAGCATGATCTGTAGTTTGTGGTCCATTTTCTGTGGGATAAACGGAAAACTCCTACTGAAATTCCCGAGGAAATGCTGGAAGTGTATGGCGGTAATTACCTGACAACAGTATCTCCAGATGGTGAATTTTTCGATGCATCCAATCGATCGGTCCGCAGGGGCTACATGCCTGCGGACGTTTACGAAATATTTTGTAACTGTTGCTATGTCAGGAAAAATACACTATTCTTACATTTAAAAGTAGTTTAGACATGGAGTTTCACTGCATACACGTTTCGTTCTTTTCGTCTTCAGGTCAAAAAAATGTTTACATTCCTTTTTTTTTCCAGTTTTTTTTATAGCATTTCTTACGTACATACGATAAAAATTATTATTTGAAATTTTTTTGGTATTTTATTTAATTTCATATTTTATTTTAGTTTAGTTTATATTTAGAGCAAAAATTGCCAGCATTTAATAATAATTACAATAAGAAGAAGAAAAAAAAGAGGATTAAAAAAATCTGAAAGCTTTCTGATTTTATATTACGTCCAAAAGGGCTTTTTTTTTTAAACGTTTTGTGTGTTACTTTTATTTATTAAACATCATGTTCTTCGCACTTCAACCACATAAACTTCCATTCAACAGTAATATCACAAAATATTTAAAAACAGCATATCTTTAGAATGTCCGATACACAGTCTCGCGCGCTGGAGACAACAATGTTTTTTTCCGTACAGTGTTGCTATTGCTCGCTTTGAAATCGGAGTTTGTTAATCCAAAACTTGTTAAAGTTTTACAAAATTTGAAATAGATAATGAAACAGATTCGAAATTCAAAATTCCAGCTTCCAAGTGCCCATGTTCGGTTGGAGGACTATGTTATTCAAAATCTGAGGGCTCTAGCTACCGTTAGTTTTTCACAATGATAGCCCTTTAGGTCTAACACCCCTTTGGGCTAATAAAGACTGTTTTCCCGTTTAAATATGAGAAATAATAGTATTACTTAGAAATGCTTTATTCAAATTCAACTTTATGTTAAATTGCATAGGGAAAGAAAAAGTTAAGCTAAGTGTAACTAAACGTAAGTGAAAAATGGATTCAGTTAATTTCTTGGGATAACAATGAACAGAAGATTCAAACTTTAAAAGAAAAATGTCGTACACAAAGGAAGCATTACGGATGCGATTTTACATCATGTTACTTAGCTTCGAATGATTAGGGAGGATTAAAGAAAATGAAGAAAGAAAAAAAAAAGGCGTAATAAATAAGATATACGATCCAGTTTCGGATCTTTTATCCTATTTATTACTTTCTAGGAATACAAGCAGAATGCTGGAATGAAAGTTTTCCGTAAGTAGTCTGTAAACAAAAAGAAAGTGCTTCGTCGGTCTTTGAAACAGCGAACCACTCGATTTTGTTTTTCAAACCAATGAAACCTAATTCAAAATCTGGATCAGAATAATATGCACTAAAACTTCCCTAAGACGACCAGCGACGGTTCCACCAGATTTCGATCTTTTGTGGAGACACACTATGGTTATCGATGACGCTCAGTCCAATTTTATTTATTTAATTATAAAGAGTCTCCAAATAATAGCCCCTGATTTAATATGCCAAGTAAAATATTTTATTTTTAGAAAATGGAAAATATTTTTACATACTTAAAACAGCTAAATGTTCCGATTAAAGAATGAAAGCAACGTCTGGCCATACTTCCTCCACGACTTGGTCTACAGCATCGTATTCTCTCGATGAAATTCGTAATCACTTTCTCACATATCTGCTTATCGAGGTTCAATGTTATGCACAACAGAGTTGTTATGCACAACAGAGATGTTTTGAACAAATCGCTTGGATCGACAGCGCAGTGATTTTGTCCTCAAATTTCTTTATCAATCTGCGATTTGTTGCTGCATTGGGCCCATTTTCAAGTAGAAAAACTCAACAAAGCTTCTTAATAGCCTGTGCATAACACTCGCCGTTCTTGTAATGAGTTTTCACAAAGTTTTCACTATCAAAGCTCGATGATCTTTTGCGTAGCGTTCCGAGTCGACTAACCTGCGACGAAGCAGCGAAATGAACTGACAGTTATAAAATACTAGTTCGTCAAAGGAAACTTAGCATTCTTAAATTGGAACATTTGCATATTGTAAATATGTAAACCTATTTTTCATTTTCTAAAAATAAAGCATTTTTGTGGGCATATTAAATCCGGCGCTTTTGTTGGGGCACTTTATAACTTTCAAAACATTCTAGAGTCATTAGGATTTTTTGAAGTAGCAAACACGAAAAATGAGCAACGCCCTCACCGGAACTCGAACCTGGATCTCTCGAATACGCGCCGAATATGTTACCGTTACACCACGAAGGCATGCACAAAGGAGGGAGAAAATACCTTACATATTCCCCCTTTTATAGGGCGACTGGGGATTAGAGGACCCGACTGCAAAATCCTGGTGGTGAAGAATCATTATCCACCCTCTTTTTAGTTTTTAGTTTAATGGTTTTCGGGCGGCACTGTACAGTCGTTAGGAATTTTTGATGCTGGAGAAGTGGAAAATGAGCAATGCCTTCGCCGGGACTCGAACCTGGACCTCTCGAATATGCGCCGAGTGTGGTACCGTTACACCACGAAGCTTTGCAGAAAGGAGGGAGAAAATATTTAATAAAGTGTTGGCTCACTTAAAAAAAATTTCGTCTTAGGGGGTGGTTATCAAAAGAGATTTCACTGCTATAATATGTATTAGAATAAAAGCGGGATTAGTTAAAAGGAATTTCAGTTCACTTGTTTACTCCTGAAATGGTTATAGACAGGCAGCATTATTAGACATCGCATGTGCAGTGGACCATTAATACATGTCGTTTAGCCATTAGAGACTGTTTTTGTCAGATATAAATGATATTAATTTCTTAAAAAGAGGAACATCCGGGTGAAGCCAAAGATTATTTAAAATACTTTCGATAAAGTTTAAGACGGGAAGTTAGCATGGGAAGAGAATGAGAAATTGGTAAAGATAATTAATTAAAATATGTTTTGAAAGTAAAATTAGAAAAATTTTAATCATATGCGTAGAAGCTTAGCAATAACTCATAACAGCATAAAGGTCAGTTCCGCCCAGTAAGTTTGAGGAAGGTTATTGATTTACGAAAGAATGTAAGCAACGTGGATGAAAATGTATCGGGGTGATTACAAAACTTCAGAATATTGTTCACATATAAGAGAAAAGTATGGGATTTTATAGATGAATTTATATTAGTCCCCGCAAAAAATATTTAAAAGAGGAAAGTTAAAAGTTCAAATTAATTATTGCTTGATTTAATATTAATTTATAAAGGACTTATAATCACATTCGAGAGCAATATAAATAAATTTACAATAATAATTTTCTAAGCTTACGATGATGCCGACGACGGTTTTCTAATAGTTGTACTCTTCCGCTTTATACTTGTGATCAGCAAAACATCCGAAAACAGGAACAGGCACCTTTCCTTTTTGGTACCGAGCCCACCCTGAAAATAAACATGTAAAATCATAGTAAATCAAGCAACTGCCAGAGGTTACAAATTAAAGGAAATTTAACTTATTTACTAACTACCAAAGAGAAGCAGCAATTGTTTTGTTCACTCATGGTGTTTGTCATCCATTTTTAAACTGCTTTTTGACAAGCTGTCAAGTTCAAATTTTGTACATCTACTGCTTGTGAAGAACAATACAAGGTAGTGAAGCGTTCTTTTCAAAACACTATGTTTTTTAAATTTGAATGTTGAAACGATTTTTCGCACATATCCTCGTTTAACGCGCAAAATAACAACTCAGAATTTTACTGTATGCACCATCGAAGAAAGCCGGAATTTCGTTTTTTAAAGTGAAGTTTATGAGAGATTTTAACGTAATTTCTGATTTTTTTGGCAAAATTGCTGAATTTTTTCGATCATTTTATGTAGACAAATGTCGGAAGTAAAGTGTGATCATTCATTGTTGAAAAATAATTTTGAATTAAATAATTTGGTTGGCGGCGCGTGATGGAGACAAATGAAATGAAAATTAAAAAAAATTCTTTTATTTAAAAGTCACAAAATTATTAATAAACTAGAAAGTAGAAATATAATTTATCATATAGTTTAATAGGAGCAAGACATTAAATGGTTTTCTTTAAAAAATTCATCTGCAGTTTCATATCACGAATGATAAAAGTGTAAAATAACGTCTAAGGCCCACCAGCGGCCGAGCGGTAAAGTCCCTGAACACTGGTAGTTCGGTCCGAGGTTCAAATCCCGCGAACGGGCTGGCTGCATGGGCGTTTTCCTGGTTTTCCCCATGTGTAACGTGTATACGAGCCAGTTTCCCTTAGAAAGTCCTCCACGAAGGCATCCCTCCCCTTAGGCAGATAGCTCTAGTGTGCTTTGCCATAATTACATACACCTAAAATAACGTCTAAATAACAAAACCTAATAATCGAATGATATTATCAAAAATCTAAGCTATTAATTTTATACATTTATCAATTGCACTTCAAAGTTTAATTATTCATGATATAAAACTGTAAAGGAATTTTTTAAAGAGAATTATTTAATCTCTTCGCTCTCATTAAATTACATGATAAATTATTTCCCACTTTTACTTCATCAATTAAAAGCTTATTTTATGAAAATATTATAATCAATAAAAATCACAGTAATAATTTCCTGAAAGTTTTACGAAAGCAAAAACGATATAAAACTTTTTACATAAAGTTAACTAGAAACAAGATAAAGCACATAAAGCAATTATTTATCATTAGACATATATATATATATATATATATTACCAACTGCAAATTCGTAAAAATAATATGTGAGGCTGAAAAAAACTGTGCGGTTTTCATCATCTTACTGTGCTTGAAAAAAATTAAAAATACGCTAATTTTTGTATCAACTCAGAAATTTATCTAAAAATAATGAAGACTATTTTTATTCTGTTTTGGCTAGAGTAGAAAATGACCTCATAAATTATTTAAATTTACATATTATTTTTCTTTTGCTATAAACTACATATTACATAAAAAATTACAATTATCTTTACAGAGTTAGATTATGTCGATAAAAGATGCCTCATATATAAGTTTGAATAATAATTCAAATTTAACATATAATCATTGCAGAGCTAAAAATATTGATAACAGCGAGTTAAATTTTACTAACCGGAATAATGTGGAATATCAAAGCAAATATTTACGAAGCTAACAAAAGAAAAAAAATCCTACGTGAAAGAAGACGCAAAGATAAAGAAATCAGAAGTGAGAAATATTTAACCGTGAAAATAAGAGACATACTTGATAATGAGTCTTAGCGAGGCGAATAACGTTCACATTCTACCGTTTTACCTACTGCTAATTTGTCAGCTGAATAAATGAAGAAGTCAGAAATAAGAAATTATATTGTGCCTTTAATGCTACAAAAAGAAAAAATTTTGTAACTTCCTAATTAAGAGGAAACTAAATTGTTAAGAACTAACTAATACTTCGTGAGAACGGAAACTTCATAGGTATCCTGTTGAAACAGTGTCAGTAGAAAAATACACACCTGCTAAATTCAAGAATGCGTTTACACTAGTGAGGATTGTATTGATACTGTTCTTGAGTCCTTGTACGCAGTAGTCATTGAATACTCATTCCAATTTCTTTTTTACTCCCTCATTCCGAGTTAAAAATGGGAAATAAAGATAAGAAAAAAGATAAACCAAACCTATCCACTCTATACAGAAAATATCAGGGTTAAGACAATTGGATTTTCGAGTTCATGTATCTTTCGTCATACAAGATTTTTTTAACCCTATCCTGTAGACGATGTAATGGTTAGCGAAGGTTGAATGGAAGCCCGAAATCAAAAGGTTGTCAGTTCGACACCCAGCGTAAAGCTTGGCTACATGTGTGTGACGTTCTCTCTATATACGGATGCGCCTTAAGTGACTATGTGTATGTACCTGTTTTTTGTGCTCTCTGTTTATGCATTTTACGCATTGTGCTTTGTGTATTGTTGCCTATGCATTTTTATGTCTTTTTATGCGTACGTCTTATTATCCAAGTATTTTTAGTTTAACTACCTACTATCTGTAACACCACAGCTTGCCTCTTCAATCTGTAATACAATCCTACTAATGCCCTTGTAAGGCCATGTACTTCCCTTTGACAACCTCAATAATCTCCTGGTGCAGCCTCGTGTGGTTCCAGGAAGCTTTTGCCGTAGTTAGAGGAGGGCTTGGAACACATACCTGTTTACCTCTGTTAGACACCAGGCGTTCCAGTCCTCCGTAACCTACCTACCTATATACGGATGCACTGTCGGTTTAATCCTTGTGGTTCTTCTAGGTTCGATTTCGGTGATGAGACAATGACTGATGGGTCCGGCCATTCCGGGTGATTGATTTCCGGAAAGTATTCTATACAGTCCCATAAGAAGAAAAAAGCCTTCTGAATCCTAGCCTAAAAAATGTTAGGCCCACCAGCGGCCTAGCGGTAACGTCGCGGAACACTGGTAGTTCGGTTCGAGATTCCCGTGAACGGGCTGGCTGCATGGGTGTTTTCGTGGCCCATGCGTAACGTGTATAAGAGCCAGTTTCTCTTAGAAAGTCCCCCACGAAGGCATCCTTCTGTTAAACGTCTTAATTAAAAAATTGGAGAGATTAATTTTATTGACACTTTAAAGAAGCTTTAATAAGAAATGCATGTATTTTTGAAATTTCAGTGTCACCTGGATCACGAGTATCACTCGCGCATATTCCTGCGCTTTCGCAAAAACAGCATCGCGCATCTCAGTAAGTATCTACCAACTGAATTAATTAATTACAGATACCGAATTTTAAACTCTTAATTGAAATTTGAATGTTCTTGGGACAAAGTTTATCAAATTATATTGAGGAAGTTAGTCTCAAGCCTCAAAAGCTTTATTTATATACGCCATTTACTCAAATTTCAGTTTTGCTATCTTAACAAATATATTTTTAAAAACTATACTCTAAAATTTGCTTTTCATTAAACACAGATTTCGGATTTTAATTGAAAACTTTTAAACATCTCCCAATGGCGGACGCTTCCCTATAACGGCATTGGCCACTGCTAAGGCCAGAAATATTGACCATTTTATCGTGGAGGCACCTACTAGGCGGCCACCGCTACCTCCTATGAAGGGACAGACAATTTTACATCCACGTCTTCTCCAGAATTCGAACCCGGGCCCTTCGGTATCGCAGTCAGGCTCGCCTAACCACTATATTGTCTTTGAGGCAACTTTTAATGTTAACCCTTTGTTGCATCATGCCCACTCTACTAGACAAAAGTCTAAATTTGTTTATTCTTCTGTAAATGCCTTAACAGATACCATTCCTGTGTTTATTCCTTCTATATTATTAGAACTTTCAACTGTCGATCGTAGATGGTTGTATAGCATCACTAAGTAAAGCACTGCTATTTGGAAAATGGCTGCTACTTCTGTTTCCAAGTTCGTACAATTTCTCATAGTAAACATTATATAATATTGCTTACATTTTCTTATACTGCCATTTTTTATTCATAATTAGTAATTTTAGATACTTTATTTTAAATGTCAGTTTGAGAAAATTGTGGAGTGGATAGATAAAGATCTACGAAAAGAGTGAATTAAAACCCAAATGTACTGCTTATCAAGCCAAAACACCAATGGAAATGTTTATGTTTGGCAAGGAATTTCTAGAACATTTGACATTTGAATCCAATAGATACAGGTTACAAAATCGTAGCAAAATGAATTTAATCACAATCGACGAAATGAAGGCATTTTGGGGGATCTGTATGCACATGTCAGTTGTAGATTTACCATTTAGAAGATGGTAATGATCACTGCAAATAAGGCAGGAAATGATTTCAAATGCAATGGCCGTAAATCGTTGGGAAGAGATTTGTATACATGTACGTATATGCATGCTGTCCACTGTAGTGAACAAACTGTAGCAATTATTTAAAACGAAATTTGAATAAAATTAATTTTTTTATTATTACTAAGGTTATTTTAAGTAGAAAAAATACAAACATTTTCGTTTAACTTCTCTAGATTATTTGTATGCAACAAAGGGTTAAGTTAATTTTTTTCTTTTTATTATTCCCCTTTGAAGAATTCAAAGGATTCGAAGTTAGATAAATCTAAGAGACTGAAAAATTCGGATTCGTGAAAATTTAATATCGGTCCCACCTTCTATTAAACAAATCTTTCATGGTCGCGCATGCGTGATTATGATCGTCATTGCGACGCGACAATCTTTCTCTGCAAAATAAGCCATAAAAATATAATGAAAAATCCATGGAAGAAATGGGGCCCCTGAGCGGTAAAGTCGCTGAACACTGGTAGTTCGGTCCGAGGTTCGAATCCCGCGAACGGGCTGGCTGCATGGGCGTTTTCGTGGTTTTCCCCATGTGTAACGTGTATACGAGCCAGAGTCCCTTAGAAAGTCCTCCACGAAGGCATCCCTCGCCTTAGACAGATAGCCCTCGAGGCTTTGCCATAATCACACACACACCATGGAAGAAATATATGCTTTCCCCGTATAAGAAAAGGTAAATGCAAAAAGTCTATAAGAACCCTGGAATATTTGATAATTTAGAATTAGAAGAATGATCCAATTCCTTCCTTGCGTCAATAATGCCTAAAATCGAAGTCACAAATTAAGGAATTGGTGAAGTGATTAGTCTTCACATTCATCTATATTCGTTTACCGTCATACACATTCGAGAAGCTACAACATTCATCTATATACAGAGTGTTTGGGAAAAATGACTACAAGCTTGATATTTTTAAATTTTGACCCTAGACATGTGCTTCCAACTATAAAATGTATAAAAATAATGTGCAGGATTTCACGTTGTATAAAACCCATCGTCTAAAACAGTCCCGACAGAGTAGAAATTCGAGTTAATAAAACAATCATTGTATTTTACTATATTAAGTTCGAAACGTTCCAAATATTTATTTGCAAAACTAGGAGAAATATTCGACAACGAATTCACTGACTCAGATCACTTTTCAACCAATCAAAATTCAAGACTTTTAGACCGAATGTAGGTACAGTTACCTGTTTTAGCGATTAATGGTTTCGTAGCAGAAACATTAACTGGCTTTTTATCAATATCATTAAACCATAAGTAAGAAATCTTCCTATTAAATTTATAGATGACTCCACAAAAATACTAATTACGCGTATTTCTGGAAATCTTTCAAGTAAAGACTTGGAACATTTTATTTTAACTTTGCAACTGAAGCACAATGAAGATTTTACCAATTCCTGCGCAGGGGATAAAAATGAAATAAGTACAAAGTATTTACGAAGTCCCTCATAACCAACGTATTTACACTACTCTCATAATATTCTCTATATTACTTTAAGAAACTCTATTATACGTATCTAGAAACAATATTGACGGAATTATAGCCCATAGCCAAAATCCTGAGTTTGATTTAGACATGTTCTGCTCTTTTAAGACTATGCAGGCATTCCCTGTCTCTGCTGTTTAGCTGCAGAATCTTCAACCTCTGCTGTTTTCGGTGTTCTTGTCATTCAATTTACAATGGCAGTGATTTTACAAAAAGAACATCCTTAAGAACGAAATGTTATACAAACAAATAATAAGAACACGCTTAAGAACGAAATGTTATAGAAACAAATAATAAGTAATAAGAACACGCTTAAGAACGAAATGTTATATAAACAAGTAATAAGTAATAGGAGTCGGCGTAGCGCAGGCAAATTGGTAGGACTATAGTATCAAAGGACAAATAGAACATCCCTCTTTAACTGCGAAAGTGAAAATTACGACAGCGAGAATAACAGAGAAATATTACAGAAAGTTCCGGCAAATGAAACAAAATGAAGTCCTGGAAGCCATCTATAGACAGAAAAGTAAACGAAAATCAACTAGGAAACAAATACTTGAAATGCTGGTGGTAAACAGGGATTAGGCATGGGATCATAAACCAGAAACGGAAGATTTTACGGATATGAACGCCTCAGGAAATTTAATTCGCCAACAGAAAACGCGTTTTTGAATAATTTTGTCTGCAATGACATTGAAAAATGAATCTTCTTCCCAGCTTTAAAAAAAAAAGTATCGCAATGCGTATGAAAAAATAAAAAGTTAAGGGTACAGTTAATACAGTTCGTATAATTAACTGACTAAGTCATAAGTGAAGAAAATTTATTTGATATTTCATAATTCTAAATGGTCATTTTCATGGAAAGAAAGGTAAAGCTATTAACAATATTGCATAATTAAAACGCGGCTAAGTATATATACAGCCAATTAAAGCAGGAAAAAATAGCGAAGATACGATACTGTGAATAAAAATAAAACATACTTACAGGCATACAGACCATATCATGTCGAATGAAGTCTCTGTCTGGTTGTACCAGCTGAAAAACATTAGAAACCAGATACAGATAAGCAAATCCAAACATAAAAAATTTGTAAATATGTTTAAATAAATATGTTTTTAGTATTAAAAACATAAGAAATACACAAGAGGAATAGAAAGAGGAATATACAAGAAATTAGGCTGATAGGGCAATATCTAATTTATCTTACTATCTATATCTATCTTAATTTACGTAGAAAAGAGGAATAACCCATATTACAATTAACATAAAAGTATTGCTTGTAACTTGCTTTTATTTTCAAGAGTTTAATCTAGGGAATACGTTCAGTTGGTTCAAAAGTAATTAAATTAACTCTTTCAGCCCTGGATATTTTTAGATGAGGGAAAAAGTGTCTAAAAAGATTGTCTCCACAAATTTCAGTTTACAGTACTGTTCTTTCCCATTTTTATGTGTTCTCAGTATTGTCACAGCTTACGTCATGTACAGAAACTACGGAGCGCTTGTGACTTTTTCTGGAATGCATGAATTGCTATGATTCGGAGTCTCTGATTGCTGAATACTATTTCCATGTGGTCTTGTGACGTAGTCGTCAACCCATCTAGATACAGTAGTGGGAAGATTCGCTTTAAACAGCGAGAGCACGATTTATTTTCCTAAATTCCTATTCTAAAAGATTTCTGTTTCCATATATATCGGAACTTATATGCGGTGGAAAACATTTCGCTATCACTTTAATTTAGCTGGCTGGGTCTCACAGCCTTCAACCAGTCACCCTTCAGTTGTGGAAGAGAGGTTTACAAGATTAAAAAATTCATGCCATGTGTCTGTGATGCAAGTGTAAGGTCTTGGGTTCGATTTTCGGTAAGGACAGGGTTGATTTGTTTTACTTTTTCAATGATGACATAGATTATATGAGTAAAGCAAAGTGCACAAGAGCTATCGGCCTAAATAGATGGATGCCTTTGCCAATATCTATATCTTTCGGGGCATATGCACCTCACTCAAAATCCTTCCACTACGAAATGAGTGACAGTTTTTATTAAATATCCACCATTAAACATTGCTTCAGAAACGGATGCATCATCATATACAGGGTTATCCAAATTAAACTTCCCCAACTCAGAGGGCTGTGCAGAGTGTTGTATGGGTCATAACGTGATGAAATTTTAAAAACAGACACTTCAGATCATGCGCTCGAGATTTATTTAAAAAAAAAAAAAAAAAAAGTACAAGAAGTTGCCGATAGGTGGCGCTGCAGATCAACAAGACATTCTACAGATGTTCCATATGTGTGCCGTGGTTCTCTACAACTCTTTCCATTCGCAAAGCAGTGTGTTCCCCAGCGGAACGCAGTAAGTACACATTAATTCCACGGACATGTCGAATAATTGCGTCTTTCAGATATGCCAAGGTTGCTGGGGTGTTCTCGGTAGACCCGATCCTTTAAGAATCCCCATAACCAAAAGTCGCATGGCGTGAGATCAGGCGAGCGGGGAGGCCAAGCTGTAGGGAAACAGCGGCTGATCACACGTGCATCGGTAAAAGTTGCCCGTAACACCTGTTGAACGCCACGAAGAATATGGGGAGGTGTATGCACCATCCTGCATAAATATCGTGTCCTGGAGGCGGCCACTTGTTGCAGTTCAGGGATCACAAACATTGTCAACATGTCCTGATACCTTTTCCTGTGACAGAGCAGGTTTTGAACCCTGTTGGTGTCACCTCTTCAAAAAAATAAGGCCCAATGACGAATGTTGCAGTGAAACCGCACCATACAGTAACCTTTGGAGGGTTCAAGGGCACTTGATGGATAGCGCGCGGGTTTTCACTTGCCTAATGCGGCAGTTATGCGTATTCACTTGACCATTCAGATGAAAATGAGCCTCATCCGTCCAAAGGATGTTCCACGGCCAAGCAGCATCGACTTCCATTCTGGAAAAGAACTGCAACGCAAATGTTTCCCGAACTACAGGATCCCCGTCGGACAGCTGATGACGACTATGGATTTTGTAAGGAAAATAACAGAGGATTCTACGCATCACACGCCAGAAGGTCGTATAGGGCATATCAATAGCACGAGAAACAGTTGGCACACTGACAACACCATGTGGCGATTGGCTACTGGGGTCCACGACCGCCAAAGCAACGACTTCCACAACCTGTCGATTCCACAACCCCAGATTCCACAACCTGTCGTCCTCTACCTGGTAAAATTCCCAGCTGTCCCGTTCTTTCGAACTTATTCATCATGTCTCGTAGAGCGCATGGTGTCATTGGTCCTCGGCGTAAGATCTTCAGCCGACGGAATGCTCTTATCGCAGCAGAGTTCTCGTCATTCTGGTAGAAAAGTTTCACTAACAGAGCTTTGTCTTTCAAAGTCGCCATTGTGCATCAGCGAGCTGGGAAACAACTGCCTGCGCAAGGCCTGTCTTCCACTTTTTGTAGGGCTCGTCATTTGGATAACGTTGCGCAGAAGCTTTATTTCTGCAAATCACGTTGTTGCAATATGCACATTACTAGTGTTACAGTGCCACCTATCGGAAACTTCTTGTACTACTTTTTTGTGTAATAAATCTCGAGCGCATGATCTGAAGTGTCTGTTTTTAAAATTTCATCACATTATGACCCATACAACACTCTGCACAGGCCTCTGAATTGGGGAAGTTTAATTTGGATAACCCTGTATATATATATATATATATATGTTTGTATCGATGTTTAATTTCCTTTTGTTTGGATGATATTCGTCGAGCTTTTCAAAAACATACAAAACAGGAATCTCATAAATCTTGGATGAAAGTTTTAACAAGCACCGGGGGGGCAGTTCATATGCCATTCTGCATACATGTATACAGTGTTTACTTTTTGCTTCAGTTTTGGAAGAATTATATAAAAACTGTAGTAGTTAACGAATTAGAGGCCATATGAATCAATTAATATAACATTTAATGGTGAGTTCTGGGCATCAAAATACAGTGGGTGTTTACATATTTTTAGAACGACTTAGATAAACAAGCAAAAGAAAGCGATTATTTTGGAATAAAAATTTCTGGCAACACCTTATTATTCGAAATAAGAAATACCTTCTGCCATTTTTAAATTTAACCTTCTTTCAAAATTTCGCATGTAAACAAACTTTGGATAGAAGAATAAGTTTTTGTGCTTTCTGAACAGAAATATTCTCATTCTAGAATTCAAAAACGTTGTGAAATGCATGCATGGTATGAAAATTTCTAAGTGCAAAATAAGTAACTATTACTTCTACATGGAAAGAGATTCTTCAAGCTAATACCCGAGAAAGTACGCATTGTTTCTAATGTTTCTAAAGTTAGTAACAGGAGAAAATCTGCCGACGCAGAAATTAATTAAAAAACATCTGCATCGGCAATAAATAAACTAATAAACCAAGATTTACAACTTAAAAAAGCTAAAAAACATAATATTCACCAAATTTGCCGGGGCATGCGGCAGAACAATTTACAACGTAGAACCCTGTACGAAAACTATTTAGCAGGAGAAAAATAGAAATACACTGTGACTCTTGAAGAGGCACGGGTTTACCTAAATGACTACAACAAAAAAGGTCCATTTATTATCGAAAACGAAGATAAAATATGTACAAACCTGGTTCCATCAACGCAAATAAAGTTTCAGTAAGGGGTTTATACTTATCGGCAGGAATCTCTTACAGTGGAAAATAAAAAATAGAAAGAGTGGAAAAAAATGTTAAAATCAACTTAACGTACTATCAAGAGAACGTTTTACGTCCAATGTTTGCAGAAGAAATTTTATTTTTTTGTTCAAATGATTTTCAAAGAATGAAACTCCATGAAGACAAAGCAAGAAGTCATACTTCGAAAAATACCACTGCATTCCTTGGAAAATGAAGACTGATACAGGTATTGCATAAATACGATTTCTACGTATTCCTGCGAAGTCCGCTGACGTTTCCCTTATGGACTGTTAGACGTCTGGTCTCTTGAAAACAGCTCTTTCTAAGGGAAAACTCATTATGATATATAGACTCTGGAAAGTAGTGGAAGAGGAAAGAATACTCCTGGGAATTTTAGAAAGCCTGTCTATCATGGAAATCCCGATACAGATTTATAGACCAGAAAAACGCTGTCAGACAATTTATAAAAATAATCTTTACATTTTTAAATATTAATTAAACGGCCTCGAAATTGTTTTTAAAATGTGCAAACGTTTTATGTATGAACCAATGAATTAAAACTGAATAAACATAAATTTCAATGAACAGTTTATTCATTATTACATGTGTAAATACTTCCGTAAACGATTTCTTGCAACTAAAGCTGTTCTGCTAAAATACCTAATGGAATATATCACTTGACATACACCGCTTAAACCATTACTTATGCTTTCAGATTAGCTTTCCCCGAGTTTATATGTACACATAGCTGATATCTTAATAGAAGGCGTCAAGGGAGTCTTCAAACAATTCAGCTCTGATATAATGAGGCTTTCGCTGTTCATCTTGAAGTACTACCCATTTATTGATCGTCATAATCTCGCTCGTCAACAATTCGAGGCTGCTTTTAGGACTGACGGGCTGAACAAGAATTTCGATCCAGAAACACATAGCCATAGCGATTGCCATTTGTAGTTAAGCAGTTCGTGGAACTCACTGGTGTTGTGACAAACATAGAAGCACATAGATGAACAAAATAGATACATGCAAGCCAATTCTAACTTTAATAACCAAACCTTAATCTAAATATGGCATTTCTTACAATAAAAAGAGGCTCATTGCAGTTCGATGGATAGTTTTAGTTTTTATCCTCATCTATCGAAATCAACTAATGCTTTTAATAAAAATAAATTTTAAATAACAACAAATTAAGGAATTGCAAATTAGTATAATTTGTTAATTAATTGTAATTAATTTGTAAATTAATTTTAATTAAGGAATTGTAATTATTAAATTGTAAATAATAAGAAATTAAGGAAGAAGTTTGCTGAATATTAAAGGTCAACAGAGCAAGCGAAAATGAGAATTATAAACGTTTCAGTTG